TCAAAGAGGGATTGACAATTAAAAAGACTAGAAGATTCCAGGTTCCACATTCTTATACCAAGTTGGGAGGAAAAGGGGATAGGTGCCAATAAATCCAATGAGGGAAGCATGTCCAAGTCTCCCTATTAGAGAGATTGCATGGGAAATGAAAATTCTAATCTGTCCTTCCCTCAATTGTTTTCATACAAAGAAGAAAGTTAAACATAAACCTCACTAATATTTTGTCGACCTACATTTACCTAAAATGAAGCTTCTCCATTCAAAGCTCACTGCTTAACTGATAAATAGGTTGCCTCAGTTGCCACATCAGCATTTATTCAAATAAAAATATCTAAAACACCACCACCACGGTTTCACATTTTTTTCTGTGGGTTTACCTTGTACCAATCACCCAAATGAACAAATTAGAAGAGAAAGATTTAAGAGTTATGGTAGAGAACATACAGCAGATTTCACTCAAAATAATAAAACTGAAAGACCAGATCCAGACGGACCCTGCTTATGATTTCACCACAAATGACTGATTTTGTTTTCACACTTCCACCACACTTCATATTCCTTTAGGCTTCTTTTTTGATAAGAAAATAAGCCTTACTAGAAAGGACAGTAAGACATCCACCTCAACAAATCAAAAAGAAAGGACAACATAAGAAGTGCATAAAATAAATTCGAGCACCATTGTGGTAGTGACAGTTGATAATAGTCCCCCAATTCTGGTGTAGCTGAGAAGGAGTCATCCGCAAACTAACCATGTCCTTTTGCCCAAAGAGATGCTTGAAACAGCATCTGATCCCACAATTGGGAGAAGAACACCTGTGATAGAAGATCCTTTGATTTTTCTCCAATCAGAGTCCAGCAAATATAGCCCCTCTAATAGGGGTTTTGCCTTATTCATTTTGGCCTTCTTAACCCTCTTTGTGAAGATTATCCTATCCCCCTTTATTTCTCACTATCAAACCACTAAGCTCAGCCATACCGCCATCTCAACATCATCTGCTGTCCATTCCGTGCGTCAATAATCTCAGGAGAATCAGCTCCCTGGAAGCCACAATGCAAGATCTTGTTCAGCTTGACCTAAAGCAGGATGTGTACATACCAAGAGGCAATTTCAGCTACTTTCAAGCACAGAAATTGAATTGAAAAAGTAAGGGGTTTCACTTATTCAAACAGAGTTACATCAAATTTAACAATTGATGTTATTTAATTGTAATGGCTTGCTTTAGAACCAAAAGGACTAGGTTTACATAGGAATAGAATGGAGAAAAGAGTCAGTTAATCTGGCTATGGTTTTGAAGAATTGGATTCCAAAGGTTAGATTTCTGTTTGTCTGTAGAGAAAATGATGAAAAGAAATGATATTATTTCATCCTATGGCTGCCACCCGAGGTAAAGTTTTGAAGCAAAAATAAATCAGAACAATCAAGATTAGCTGGGCTAAGCCACATAAAAGCCAAGGGGAGCCTTATAAGCATAATTTGGTCTTGATTGAAAGTGGAACCCTGAATTTTTCCCCTTATTTTCTGTTTGGTTCAGAAGAAACAAGCATATAAAAGTTAGGTCCATGTCCTTTGTGGGGTCAGTATAACCTTCTCACATTCTCCATCCTCTTCTCTTAAGCTTCTGTTAGTCAAAAGAGATGACCACAGATTTTGCAAACTGAAACTAACTGGACCTTCTCGTAAAACCTCAAGGATGGCTTTAGAACCTAACCCTATGCAGAACTTAGGTTCACAGGAAAGAATGATTACCCCCGCCTGAGCAAGATCTGTTGTTTCTTTTGAACAAAGAAACTGAAGGATATAAACTATAGAAAATAAATTAGCAAACTCTATTTAATTTTTAACAAGGCAAGTGCAATAGAAATTTTTTCTCTCTCTCTTTTTTGGAGATTATATGTTACAGAAAATACAAGTACTTCCTGGTTCAGATTAGTATACTAAATCAGCAGACCAGTCCTTAAGTTCAAGATGGATGTTGATTTGCATGTAATCAAAAGGGCCCACAAACAGATTCCACTATGTCCAAATAATAGAATTAATATATGCACAAGACTGCGCAAGCACGAGATATAGCAAATTATGACAGATTTGAAAATCTATGGTCAACTGTTGAAATCCTCGGCATTAAAGTGTCGTTTGATACCAAGTATCAAAAGGTGATTTTATACCGAGTACTAAACAATGATTCATATAATGGAATCCTCATTATTGAAGTGTAATTTCATATCGAGCATCAAAAGGTGATTTGATACGACGTATTAAATGATGATTTTTATTTTGAAAAAAGTGTGCAGTATATATATTAATATTGGCACCAAAGAGGTTTACCTACCTACGTACAAAAATTGCAAATCAATTAAAGTGCTAATAAAGTTCCCTAAATCCTCTATTAAATGAAGAGGACGACCCAATAACAAAAAACTAAGGGTCTGAAACCATATATTCTTGACTAAATCAAAAACCATCTGCATTATCAACCCCATCAAGAGCCATTTTGTTCTTCTCTTTCAAAACAATCCAAAAGATGGTAAATGGTATTAGCTCAACTCGTTTTCTTCCTCCTCTCATACCCTTCCATGCCTAAATTTCATCTCTCATTGAACTTGTCATCACCCAGCTAATATCTAATAGACTATAAACTATAGTCCAGAGCTTTTAGGCCATCGGACGCTGAAGCAGAACATGGTTACAGGTCTCCTCAACCCTCTTATAAAGTTAACAAGTGTTCACAAATATTTTTACCCCATCTTCTTAACTTATAGATTATTATAATACACTCCCTACTAGCCTCCCATGCAAAAAAAAATACAAGAGGTGGAGCTCTTGCCTTCCAAATTTGTCTGAATGAGAGAGTAAAACTATTACCATCATACTTCAACAGCTGTTTATAGGAAAGACTTAATTGTGAAAGACTCATTTGTAGTAAGACACCACATAGGGTTATCATTGCTCCCATCAAAAGTCACAAGTGAGAGAATGCTTA